GGTCAAGTCCTTCATGGTTCATTTGGCCTCCTCCAGGAAGCCTCTCCTGCCCTCCATCCGGGTGGGCTGGGGCCCGCGCCACGCCCACCCCCACCCCTCCTCACAGCACTGACCACGCTGTGGTCACTTGGGTGCAGGAATTCTAAGGCATCCTCAGTGTTCTGGGCACCTGCCCAGAGCTGAGCAAGGTGGAGCTTTGTGCCTGGAACCCAGGGGAGCAGGTCCAGGCTCCAGGTCCAGACAGGTTCCCCAGGAAGGTGGGCCGCCAGGAGGGAACAGACGTCCGGCCTCACTTCCTTAAGGCAAACCCGCCCGAGGGGATTTCTCCCCACTGAGCCCGGTATGCGGGGGTAAGCTGCAGCTGTGTCTGTGAGGCGGACGTCTGTCCTGTGCTGGAGAGCCTCATGCGGTTAAATAATGTCCCTTTGGAAAGTGGTGGTAGCCTGGTGTGTCTATCCTAGCATTTCCTGCAGGTCCTGGGCCCCGCACAGGGGAGCCAGAAGGCGTTTCGGGGGCCATTGTGACCAGCAGCTGCCTGCCTGGCCTCAGCCTGGTCGGCGGGGCCCTGGCACCCCATGGAGCTCTCTGTGCCAGACAGAAAAGGAAGGAAGAGTGGATACGCTCTGCCCAAGGCCAAGACGACAGGAGCACCAGGCAGGTAGCCACGGTGAGGGCCAGCTGGCCCAGTCAGCTCACGTCCCCCAGCCCAGGTGCACAGAGCCTGCCCACTCGGAGGAGTCGGCACCCTCCAGGTGTACAGAGATGGGAGAAGCACTCCCGACCCCCTCCCTGCAGACACCCCATCTGATGACCCTCAGGAGCTTTGGAGTCAGGTGGTCCTGAGGGAGAGTCTTCCCTGGCCTCTTTCTAGCCATGTGACCTTGGGCAAGTGACTCAGTCTCTCAGAGCTGCGGTTTCCAAAGGCAGAGACCTGGGAGTAGTCAGCTCTACCTGCCGGCTTGTGAGGGTTAAGGAGGCTGCAGGTGCGCAGTTCATGGCCGCTGTGGTCACGAGGAGCAGGCTGTGCCAGCAGCCTGGGTGCACAACAGAAAACATCCTCCCCGGGAGTTACCGCAGTGAATTCTGACAGGGCAATCAAGAGGGCTTCCAAGAGGAGGTGGCATTTGAAGGCCTTGAGGAATGAGTATGAGTTAGCCAGGCTAAGGCGGGGGAGGGCGTACCACCAAAAGGAAGTGTAAGAGCAGAGCTTCAGGGTGTACAAGACAAGGCCGGTCGTCTCATGTGGCCCAAGCCCAGTGAGGGGAAGGGGGAGAGGGGGCCCTGTTTCTCTCTGCAGTGGGAGCCAGCTCTGGGGGGAGAACCCGACTCAATGACCCAGCGGGCGGGTTTTGCACAGACGTCCCATGGCCATTGCAAATGCGCCTTCCGGAGGCGTTTGTGTGTCTTAGAGTTTCAGGCGGTTCTCTAGGGCCCCGCCCAGCTGGCTGGTTCCAGCTCCTCCCACTTCAGGCCTCTCGGGCTGGCCTTGTCGCGTGGGACTCCCAGAAGGCCCCCTGTCTGAATTTAAGGGCCAGCCTGGGTCTTCTAATTAGGAGCCTCGGGACTCCCGGGGTGCAGGACCAGCCCAGGCCGCGCTCTGAGCTGGGGCCGCTGCTGCCAGGGAAGCAGGGTGCATGCCTCTTCCCCGACGGGAGTGAGGGCTCCTGGAGCAGCCTCTCCGGCCTGGGGCCCCGGGGTGACTGGGCGCTCCTGTAAGAGGCCAGGGTGGCTGCTCCCCTCAGTCCATCCCCGGCCGGGATGGGAACACAGCAGGGACCGGTCACCAGGGCTCAGCCCTGGCCCTGCCGTTTACCAGCTGCGTGGCCTCAAGTAAGCGGCCTGCCCTCTCCGAGTCTTGGTCTCTTGGGGTAACAACGGTCCCCCAGTCGCAGGGCTGGGGTGAAGAGTACGTGAGATAATTTTGACAAAGCAGTTAGTCCAGAGCCGGCTGCTTTTTAGGCACTCGGTAACTGTTGGCTTAGAGAAAAGTCAGCCTAGGAAAGCGAAGGGTGGAGTGTCTGTGGGCCAGTCTCTCCGAGCCTCAGTTTCCCTGGCTGTAAAATGGGGATGGTAACTGTGCTTGGTAATGACTAACATGTGTGAGCACTCACTATGAATCAGGCAGTTTCCCCCAACTCTGCCTAACACGTGAGGGTGGGGGTGAGGGGACAGGGCATCCCAAAAGCCAAAAGCGTGCAGGGAAGAGCCCCAGAGATTGGGTATTTTCTGGGTGAGGCCAGAGTGGCAGCTTGAAGGTGTGGACAAGATCAGAGGGAATTGGATGGCTGGGGACCAGCAAGGGCCCACCTACCACTGTAAGTGAGCCACCTGGGCTGGGCACCCCTCGCACCTGACAGCCATCAAAACATCTTGGGGCCCCGAGCAAGTCACGGCCCCACCCGTTGAGCTCGGTTCTCCTCTCGGGAGGACAGCGGCTTGGGCTCACTCACTCACTCCTTAGGTCCCCAGCTGCCGGAAGGGGCTGTGATTCTCTGGTCTCTGACTTTCTTGGATGGCGTCCATGTAGGTTGTGATTTGGGCGGTATGATCTGCCCATTGATTTTTTCCAGAAAGGATGCTTTCTTCCCTCTGTTCTGCCATCAGCCCGCAGACGGACAACCTTGGTGCTGGCCTTCCCACGGCTCCTCCCTCCTCCTCCCACCAGCACACCCCGCCTGGGGTGCAGCCGGGAACCCCGAGGGTCCGGCAGGGCAGGGGCTCCCGGAAGGCCCCTCGAAGGCACGGGGCTGTCCCCACACCGTGCGGTGCGCACCACTGCCAGGGAGTGCCCAGGGCTGGGAGCCGTGTCCAGCCCACACCTGACTCTGGGTCCGAGTGGCCACGGGAGGCCCGGGCCATCACGCGCTCCCCCTCCTGTTGTCAGCACGAGCTTCAGGGTTGGACAGGCTGCTGGGCATTTGTGTCACTGCGTCAGGGCTGGGAGGTCGCAGGGGTGTGTGAGTCCGCTGTGTGGTGTCACCCAGGCCAGGATGGTGGGAACAGCGCCGCCCTCGTGGTGAGAGAGGAGGAGGCCGAGGCTCCAAGGGCTTAGGGAGCTCACTTAAGGTGGCGTCACCCCCCACCCACCACCAGGAAGGAGCCCAGGAGGGCTGTAGTGCTGGGCGCTCCTAAGAGGCAGGCAGGGCAGGGAAAGGGGGTCCGGAGACCATTGCGGGAGGAAGGCCGGGGAGACGTGAAAGCTGTGCGGAGGCGGTTCCCATACCAGCTGACCTCACAGGGCCTGCGGGGGTGGGGGTAGTGGTCACCGGCTACACGGGGGAGGGGCACTGCACACGATCAGGGCCCGCGAGGCATGCACGGGTGCTGCTTCCTTTGCCTGGGGGGTGTCTGCCCACCGTCACTCAGCCGGGGCGTGGGAGTCAGCGTAAGGGCTCTGCGTGGGCTCAGATCCCAGCCCGGCCGCTCACTGGCCGAGCAGTTCCTGCCCCGAGTCTCAGTTCCCACGCCTACCAACAGGGACCGTTGTAAACGCACCTCAGAGGCTTGCTGTGACGGTGACTCGGGTTCACAGGTGACTCGGCGCACCCCGTAAGAGCTGTAGGGATGTGCTCCACTGCTGTCCCCTGGAGTCAACTCAGACTCCCCCAAACACTCCGCGTTTACTGGGCACCTGCCTGCCCTCCTGTGCCCTGGGCCAAGCCGCCAGCCTCAGGGCCCGAGTGTGTGGGTCTGAGGGGGGGGGGGGCAGCCCGCCAGAACTGGTGTGTTGGCTCCCACTGCTGGCGTGACAGACGTCCTGATGAAATCTGTCACTTGGAAACATTTTTAAAGGAAATTTCCGGAAAGTTTTCTTAACCCCATGGGGGGGCCCTAGTAGCCTGAACTATCGTCAGGTTCTTGTCGTGGCTTTGCCGTGACTTGCCGGGGAACCTCCCTTTCCTGGGACTCAGTTTCCTCATCTGTAAATCGGAGCAGCCACCGTACCCACCCAGGAGGGCCGACCCTAGGCGAGACTGCTCCTGCGCAGCGTGCTTTGTAAACGCACAAGTGCCTTGGGGGCTTTTGGTTCTGCTTCTTGTCACTCAGGAAACGGCCACCGGCGGTGTCTCGCTGGGCCCTGACCCGGGGTGTGGATGTCGGTGGGACGCCGGCTCTGCTCTCAGGGTTCCCCGAGCAGTGGCCTCACTAAAACCCTTGACTTTTGTGATTTCCAGAGAACGTGGAAGGCCCCTCAGGCAGCCTGGCCCCTTCCAGGGGAAATGCTGGTAAGTGCCTGTGCTCTCTGTTGGTTTGTTGCGCACTGTTTTTGTGTCGGCTCACGTGCAGGGGTGCTGGGGGGAGCTGGGGGTCAGCCCTGCCCTTGGGAACGCAGTCCAGGAGGAAGGACCTGAAAACCCCACACCCAAATGACCAAATGCCTGAGGTTCAGGAGTGGCCCGACGCAAAGCCTGGACTTTCCAGAAGGTGCGCGGCCACAGGGCAGCTGGCGGGGTCATTATAAAGGCATATTGACAGTTTCTTCTGCCTGGAATCCTTCAGCAGGTCCCCCCTTCCCCCGTGGGAATGAGTCCCCAAGCCTGTGGCCCACACTGCCTTGCTCCAGCTGCATCTCTAGCTTTTCCTTTCGCAAATGTTGCACTGGCCTACTTTCCCTTCCTGGAAGTCTGCTTGCTCCCTGCTGCCTCAGGGCCTTTGCCCATGCTGTGCCTGCCACCTGGAGCTCTCTTGCAGCCTTATCATATAGTTACTCCCTATCTGTCCTTCAGTTCTCGTCTCAAATGTCCTGGGTCCCCAAGACCCAGGGTCCCATTATATACCCTCTGTGCACCTGCCATGCTTTCTTACTACTGTACGTTGCGGCTGTTACCGAATGACTGTTATATGTGATAAGTTATTCTCACTAATGGCCCCTTAGAACTGTAGTCTCCATGACAACAGGGACCCTTGGGCTCAATGCCTGGCATATGATAAGGGCTCAGCTAATGTTTGTTGAGTGACTGTATGATTGGTATTAAGGTAAGGCTTCATGGAGGTGGTGGTGGCGTTTGAGTATAACTTTAAAGAGGGATCATTTCGATCTGTAACGAAGAGGAAGAGCTTCCTGCTGCAGGGCACAGGTGGGCACATGGCGGGAATACAACTCATTTGTTTGGGCAAAGAGGCAGGATGGGACATGTGAGAGAAGGCTGGAGAACTGAGCTGGGGTCAGATGAGGGCTCTGAGCTCCAGGTGCATGAGGATCGACTTGAACTCTGAAGTCCCTTGGAACCCACCGAAAACCTCGGAGCCAGGGGGAGTAGGCTCACAGCTGGCTCTGGGTAACTGATGAGCCCGCCGCAGGGAGGGGTGGGCCCGCAAGAGGGGCTGCTGCAGCCAAGAGGACCGGCTGGGTGCTGGAGAAGCCGTAGACGCTGCTGCTTCCTCCTTCCCCGGAACCACATGCGCCTTGGCAGTTACCCCCGCCAGGGAGATGCGGGGCAGTGACGAGGAACCTCACGTGGCACGGCTGCTTCCAGAAGACAATCACCTTGGTGGCGAGGGAGCCATTGCTAAGTCACTGGAGGGAGAGACGGCGTGGCGGGAGCGTTGATGCCCACGTTTCTCAGCTTCCCAGATCGAGGAGGCAGCATCCAGCTTCACATCTCTGCACCTGTGTCCCGGTGCCTTCCCAGTGGTCCAGGAATCGTGACACCGAGGGACCAGCCCGTGGTAGAGGAGCGGAAGCATTCCCGTCAAGGCCTAGCGAGCGAGAACCACTCCGCGCCCCCAGGGCGGGGCGCAGCTGATGGGGTCGGAAGAGGCGGGATTCGCCGGAAGTGCCTGGGGACTAGTCCCAGATCTGCTCCTTAGCAGCGGTGCGCCTTCGGGCATCTCGCTAGCAACTCTGGGCTTCAGTTTCTTCAGCTGTGAAGTGGGAACCGCCCGGGCGCCGGCAGAGTTAGGGGCGCAGACACACGTGCAGCCCCAAGCACAGGGACCGCTGGAGGCTCGGAAGCGGCGGATGTATCATGGCTGCGCTTTTCTCCCCGGTTTGAATCCTTCGCAGGAAGCTCGGGTTTCAGGCTTAAAATGAAGAGCGTGTCAACAAAACAGGATAGAACAAAGTCTTTTCCCAGCATGCCTCAGCATGAGGCACTGCCTTCCCGCGGAGCCCCACAGAGATGGGGCTAAAAGTCTCCGGCTTTCAAGCAGAAATAATCCCCATGGAAAGGACCCTCCCCATTGTTATCTGGTGATAAAACGAGGCAGGAGCCTGCAGCCCAGCCCTCCCGGCTTCAGATTCCAACTCCGCCCCTTCCTAGTGGCTCCGGGCCTCAGTTTCCTCATCTGCAAGCTGCGGTAATAACAGTACCCGCCTCACAGGGCCGCTGTAAGGATTAAGCGGGTCAATGCAGGTGAAGTGGTCAGAACGTGCCTTTGTCACTAGGATGGTTAGGTCACTTCCCTTGCACCGCGAGCCTCTGCAGTGCTCTAAGTGACTCCGCGGGGGCTCGGGAGGCGAGAGGCTGAGTTCAGAGCCCAGCTCTGCTGGACTCCAGAGTCACTAGCTGTGTGACTCTGGGATGTCTCTTAACCTCTCTGCCCCTTTCCTTGTCTGTACCACGGCGGTGACAGTCCCTGACTCCTAAGGCTGTTGGGAGGGGTGAGTGGGGTCAGCCAGGTAAGAGCCCTGATTCCCTGGAGGCTGCAGACCACTCGGCCCCTCCTCCCACCCGCTACACTTTCCAGATGAAGGAATTCGGATCAGAGCCTTTGGAGGACATGCTGAGGGGCACACGTCGCTGTGACCTGCACTGGGCCACCACGCCAGGGGCGGCCCCGGGAGCGTTGGGCCACCAGCAGCAGGAGTGCCGAGTGGACTGACCTGACGGGGTGCTGTCCCGCAGGGCCAGGCTGCAAGGGCCTCCAGCTGCTCAGCTGGGTCTCCCCTGCTGTTCTCTCTCTGCTCACCCGTGGGCACATGAGTGCTGATGGACAGCAATGCCACTTGCTGGGCAGGCCAGCTGCCCAGCCTCCGGGGGATAACGTGTCACCTGTGGGGAGAAGCTGGTGCCAACCCTGCTGTCCTCTCACATCTCTTTCCCTGTCCGCCTGCAGACTCTGGGGCCCACCAACCGTCTGTGTCCATTCATCTTTCCAGTGTTTACCGAGCGCTGGGAAGCTTAGTGGTTAGAAGAGGAACCTCTGAAGACCTGGGATCAAATCCCAGCTCGGCCTCTTCCAAGCTGTGTGACTTGGAAGACAAGCAACTTAAACTCTCTGTGCTTCACCAGTGGCCCCACCTGTAAAGTGCGGTGATGGCAGTACCAGCCTCATCACATTGTTGCAAATGCACAGTGCCTGTTCACAGAAGCCCTGCATTTCTCTGGGCTGTAGGGACAGTGCTGTGGATGCAGTCCCCTACCCTGCACAGGATGCTGGAGACCTTGGGGAAGCAGAGGTGTCTGCCCTGCCAATGCTCACACTCCCAGGAGAGATGGACACAGCCCTATACACAGGCCAGTGTGACCAGTGGAAGCTAAGAAGGGAGCCACAACTTCCACCCTGGGGGGTGGGACACACCTGAGCAGAGGTCACTGTGAGGTCCTATGATGTAGATTCACGCCATGCATGTCAGAGATACCACCCTGCAGGATCCCGCCCTTGCCCTCCTCTGAGGTCCCAATCTCTCATTCCCCTAGCACTACACTGGGCACAGCCCTCCTGCGAAGAGCAGGTGGCTGTCTCCACCCTGCCAAGTCTGGGTATTCCTGGCCCTCTGGAGCCTCCTTGACCCCTTTAGCTTGGGAACTGGCCCTGACTTCGCCCCAGACAGACCTATCCTGAGCCCCTGTGCCTGTGCCATCAGTGCCGACAGCCCAGCATACAGCGGGTGCCGTGTGTGGAATGAAGGCGTACCACAAAGGATCTGGCCACCCTGCTGTTTGTGTCCTCTGCTTCCCCCTGCTTTGCATGGGGCAAGTGCCTGGCTTGCGACTGGCTCTGCAGGGTGCTGTGCGGGGGTCCCCCTCCCATAACCCTAGGCCCCTGCCCATTGTCTCTGGAGAACAGGAGCCAGCATTCCAGGCCAAGCCCCTGGTGTGCTCGAGTTGGCAGGAGGCCCCTCCCACCAGGAAGGAAAGCCAGGGCCCATAGGAGAAAGGTGAGGGCTGCACGTGTGTGCAAGAAAGCCTGCCAGCGGGAGGAAGGGACGTCCGCCCGCCGCTGAAGGCACGACAGGCGGCTCGCCGCACAAGTCACTGATCTGCCGGGCAGGGCCGGTCTCCTCAATCAATCCGCACTGACACATGGTAGCGGAATCGGTGACCTGGAGGCAGAAGGCTCCATTTGTAATCCCGGAGTGGCCCGGGCGCCTGGAGGAGGGCAGAGGAGTTTGTAATAAAGGGAGTGACACAGGGTTTCCAAAAGCTATCTCCGAGCCAGAGGAGGAGGGAAAGGATTAATTTTGCTTCTGGAAATGAAACCACTGATTCAGTTCAATAAGTACTTTTTGAGTGGACTGGGTTTGGAAAGAGGGAAAAAATGAATCTACTGTCTTTTTCTTAAAGCGTGGAAAGAAAAACAGGACGCTCGCACATGAAGCAGCGGGAGAACAGCAGAAGGTGCTAGCTAACATGATCGCGGGGGTGGGGGCTGGGGGGCTCCCAGTTACTGACCGAGCTCCAGCCACTGCAGGACTTTGGGCGGCGACTCAATCTCTCCGAGCCTCTGTCTGCTCATGTGTCATATTGTGTCCACATCACAGAACTGTGGCCGCTGCTAACATGTGCCTGCTAGTGTCCTGGATTTTTTATGCAGACCTCCAGATTCTCCTAACACTTGTGTTATGAAGGAGGTCATATTATCCCCATTTCATAACTGAGGAAACCAGAGTTCAGAGAGGTGAAGTAAATTCTCTAAGGCCACACAGCCCAAGGGTACCCCAATCTGTCTGTTGGCGGTAACACCCACATGTCCTTTTTCCAAATGGTACCAAAAGGGACAGTGACAGGCTGCCAAGGGTAAAGAAGCTGAGGCTGGCCTGGCCCTAGGACTGGGAAGTTTCCTGGTGGAGGTTGGCTGGGCAATGTTCCAGCAGGACCCAGAGGGGTGGGAGGGGCTCCCAGGTCAGTCCCAGGACAGAAGCCAGGAGCAGACAAGAGCCCGGATTCCAGTTATCTGTCCGCATTCTTTTTCCCCCTTTCACCACCCATTTCGTGTTCTGGTCCCCCGGTCTGAAACCCGAGTGAGCTGGGAAGAGGGGAGAGGAAGGGGGCAGTGATGGGGCAGGAGACTCCAAGGAAGAGGGCTTCCCTTTCCTTCATGAGCTCTCTCAAGAAATTGGGGGTGCCCCCGACACCCGGGTTCAACAGGCTCCCCTGCATCCTTCCATGTTTGTCCAGAAAACATGGGTCGGTGTTGAGAGTCCCCGCAACCTTTCCCTCTGCAGCCCTGATCTAAGCAGAAGCCAGCACTGGTCTTTTAAAAGAGTCGGTGCCAAAGAATTTGAAAATGAAACTCACAGAACAATGGGAACAGCCAAAGGGCAGGGCCTGACGGCCTGCTCAGCTCTGCCCCGGAAGAGCCGCACCCCACCTGGCATGCAGGAGGTGTTGGGAAGCGGGTCTTCAGGAATGGCCTTGACCCGCGTGGGACCCGGCCCCCACTTCGTGAGACTGGACAGGAGCCAGGAGATACAACTGTCTTCCCCACTCACATCGTCCTGAGGTGGTAGAACCACCTCATGCCCTGCCTGGCATCCCTGTGGTGGGGATAGGTGTGGCCACAGCCAGGACCCTCCTTGGGTGGCCCGAGGCAAGGCAAAATGTTCAGGAGTCTGGCTGGGTGGAGTGGGAGGTGAAGGGCAGAGCCGGGCCTTGGGGAGCTGTGCACCTCAAATATACCTAAACCTGAGCCCCAGGATGCGCCTGGTTCCTGCCAGCCTCCACCTGCTGCGCAAAGCACTCTTCAAACTCCAATTTACTTTCCAGCTCGGTTGCTTCAGAAAAGGAACGACTCCAACATTCGGGGATATGGAAACCTACTTTAGAATGAGAAATTTTAGCCAACGTTAGGGATCTCTCCTGTTCCCATTGCGCCAATGGGAAACCGAGGCCCAGCGTGGGGGGAGAACCTGGCCAGGTATCCAGGTGAGTCACAGGCAGGATCACAAACACTCCACACACATCATCACAGGCCTCACTTTTGATAGTGGTGGGTCACCCTACACAAATATCTCAGTTCTACAACTGAGATTAAAAAAAAAAAAGTCAAGCCATTCCTTTGCTCCGTGAAACACATGTAGGATTTGCAAAGGAAGTCTGGAAACAGCCTGGCCTTGGCACCACAAATCCCCCACCTTATCTCTAAATTAAATTTGGACTCTTGGTCCAGCCAACCAGGCTTTGCAGGTTTTAACGCCCCTGCAGACGAAGGCAACTGGCATTTGGCGAGCCTATATTTTACCTGAGAAGTTGGTGGGCCTCCCCACACCTCGCTTAATGAAAGCGAAGGAAACTGAGGGCCCAAGTCATTCAAGGACACGCGGGGCGAAGGGGTGGAGGCGGCCAAGGAACCAGGTCTGCGGGGCCCTGAGGGCGTCTGGCTGGCGAGAGCCGCCCCCATACCAAGCCCTACTGAACGGGTTACCAGAGGAGGTCGGGCGTTGGCCCGCCGATCCCCCCTCCCCGGCTGCCAGAGACGTGATTCTGGCGTTGGAGACCTGGGGGAACTCTAGGAAGCCCAAAGAGACATTCCGGGCCGCTAACTCCCCAGAAAGTTGGCTTGTGGCCACTGCCAGGGCGGACGGACGGGAGCTGCGGGCCAAGATGGCACTGGGCAAGCAGCGAGCCGGCCGCGCTGCGCTTCGCAGCTGCGGAGAGGAGCCCCGCGCGCTCGGGGTCGCGGAGCCAGGGTCAGGCGAGCGGGCGCAGGCCTAGGCGCCGCCGCACGCGGGTGGGCACGCGCGCGCGCGCCGGCCCCGCCCCCCGGCGCCCCGCCCCCGCCGCGCGCCCTCCCGCCCGCCCGCGCGGTGCGGCCTTGAGCCTCCCTATTGGCCGCGCGCCGTCACCTGACGCTCTGTTATTTCCTGTGTGTTGGGAGAATGGAGAGAAAAAATCCCGAATCGAGCGGCTTTCGGCCCCTGCGAGGCGGCCGCGGCCTCCGTCGGGGGAGCCCGCCCTGAGGCGTGCCCGACTGGGGAGCGAGTGCGCGGGCCGGAGCGAGCCTCCAGGGGCCGCGGCCCCGGCCCGCCCCGCCGCCGTCCCGGGCGCCTGAGCTGGAGGCGGCGGAGGCTCCCCCACCCCCACCCCGCGCAGCACCGCCCGCCGCCGCTCCCTCCCCTCCCGCCCCCGGCCGAGGCCGAGGGACCGGGAGGGGGGCTCCCGCAGGTAACCGCCGCCCGGGCCGGGGGGCGAGGGGGAAAGGGCAGAGGTCAGGACTGAGGGGGCTAGCGCCAGGGCTAGGGCCCGGCCGGGGTGTCTGGTCTCGGGGGCTGGCTGGGGGCAGAGGTCCTTGCCGGGCCCGACCCGGGAGTGCCGAGATCCCTGTCCTCCGCCACCGGGACCGGCGTGCCGAGGGGAGCGGCCCCGCCCGGTCCGACCCGGAGTGCAGAGAGGTGCGGCCCGGCCTGGTCTAGGGCTGCTGAGGGGAAGTGGCCCGGCCTGCCATCCGCGTGAGGTGCCTCGGTCCGGCCTGCGAGTCCCGCAGTGCCGGGGCGCCGGCCCTAGCCTGAGGGTGCCGGGTGGGGTTAGGTACCTGCTCGTCGTAGCCTCGGGCGCCTCGGAGGCGGGTGCGAGCAGGCGGCGCCCGGGGGGCGGCCGGGTCAGCGGCGCCCGCCGCGGGGCCCCTGGCCGCTCCGGGGACCTGGCCGCGCTCGCCGCCTCTCCGCGGGCTGGGGGCGAGGCCGGCGGGCGGAGGGCCGGGCTTGGGGCGGGGAGGGGCCGGCCGGGCGGACTGGAGCGGCGCGGGGGCGCCCGGGAGTCGGAGCGCGCCCCGGCCGCGAGAGGGGACGGGGCCCCGCTGACTGCCTTGTGAACACCTGAAGCCATGTGGACGCGGCCGCTTCGCGCCTGTTGGGGGCGGAGGGCAGGTAGCGGCTGGCAGGGCGCAAGGTCCCGGCGCGGGGAGGGGCGGGGAGCGGAGCGCAGGGCACACTTCCTGCGTGGGGTTTTCTCCCCCTTCCCCGCCGCGGCGAGCAGGGCGGGGTGTTTGGTGCGGTGGTCCCCGCGTGCGGGAGAGCGTTCGTTTGGGGGCCCTTGGCTCTCGGCTTCCCTTCCCCTCCGAGGGGGAAAGGGGTGTTGGAGGAAAGTGCCCGGCCCGGCCCTGCCCGCTGTGGCGGCGGCGGGAGGTGGAATGTCTCCTGCACGCCGGGACGGGAGTGGAATTGAGTGAGTTGGGGTGGGGGTGGGGGGTGCGGAGGAGCAGCCGCCTTCCTGGGCCTGTGGGTGGGGATTATTGTCTGTTTTTGTGGTTGTGGATACGAGCACTGTTTGCCTGCGTGAAACCCTTTAGTTTGCCTTTAGGGGACAGATCAAAATTAGGACATTAGGCTTCCGCCCCCCCCCTTCCCTCTGCTCCTCCCCCCTCCGTCTCTCGAAGATTAGATGACTCTGGTAACTGCTGTAAAATGGATGGAATTTTCGAGCTATTATCTAACAGGCAGATCTTTGGATGATAATTGGACCCTTATGTTAACAGCCTCAGTGAAGAGTTTCATGAAACATCTTACGTGGGGTGGTAGCTGGGTGGAGTGGGAAACTGCGCTGAAGTCCGGACCTGGGAGACCGGGAGCCTTACTTCCAGCTTTGTCACCAGTGAACCATAACCTTGGCCAAGTTACCTGCCTCCTCATGGTTCCAGTTTCCTCATCTCTTAAGTGAGAACTCTCTTCCAGAGCAAACATCCCGGGGGGGTTTGGCTAGTTGTTTGTTCTTGTCTCTCCCATTCTGTGCTTTTGTTTCAGCCAGAAGCCTCCTTCCTGAGAAATGGCAAGCCGGGCCTTACCTGGCTCTTGAGAGCCTGCCTCCCTGTTCAGCGTCCAGCCTTTTCCTGCTCCAGCAGAGCATGAAACTTGGTCTGGGTACAGTTTTTCCTTAAATCCTAGACGTTCTGTGCTTTTCAGAAAGTGTGTTATCTCCTAGCCCATGCTGAATGTGTCTTGAATTTTTGGTCTTTGTGCAAGAAGTTCTCAGGAAAAAATTTTCAGGGAACATTCGACCACCTGAAGCTGTGGACCATGCGGGTGTGTCTCGGACAGTGGGGTGTGGGCTCCGAGGTGTGCCAAGGTCTTTCCGTGCAGTGGGTGGGGAGGGATTTAACATTCTTTCAAGGGATATTTGGCATTTGGCTCACTTGGAATTTCCAACGTCAGTATTCTCAGAGTAGAAATAAAGCGGAATTCCGTAATATGTATGTCCTGTGAGATGGTGTGCTAGTGGAATTAACTCTCACCTCGGGGTGCACTGATTATTTGCATCCCCAAATTATTCTTTAATGGTGGCCGGATGCTTCCTCTCAGATGAGGAAGAACCCCAGTTAGTTTCCCTGATTTTTGTGGTGTGGGAGAGCCTGCGGCCCAGCTTCCGGACTGGCTGGCCCTTGAAGACCAACCTCAGAAGTTGGTCTTGCCTCAAGTTATTTCTTGTACTGCGATGCTTGAAGGACACGTGCCCGGTGCAGTGCAGTGCGGTGCAGTCGCCTTCCTGAGCGCACCCTCCACTGCGGGCCTAGACACCGCTGGGAAAAGGGAGGCTGCGCTGGTGAGTGTGCTCATGCTGTTGGCTTTGGAGACAGATGGGTGGAATTTTTCTTGCGCGTTAACATGGAGCCTGTCACGTAAGTAGGCGCTTTTATACATCTACACAGCTATCAATTACTTGGAGTTTCCCAAAGTAAGCAACTTAGTCTACATTGGTATTTAAATTATGACCTTGTTTGGTGTGGAGTTTAAGAACCCTAGTTCCTTGAATTGCAAGTAGTTGTCACATGTATGTTATTGTTACAAGGAAAAATGATAACACTGTTATTCTACAAAGGCAATTTGTATGTGTTTAGATATGTGAGGGAAGGTTGCTGAGGTACTGAGATGGGAGGAGACATCTTTTAGATTTTAGGTTTTGTAGCTTTTTAGTGCTATGGGATAGAATGTAGTCGAAGTCACATCTAAGTTAGACCTGGAAATTAGAGTTGGGCTACTTCTGGTGAGGTCAGCCTTCTCTTCATACAGACGGGAAAGGATACTAACATTTGTTTGTTTGCTTGTTTGTTTTAAAAAAGATTCAGTATGTTAAGTTCTGTCCAAGGTATTTTAAGTTGCCTTAAAAAAACCCACCCAGCCCCTGCCAGGTGTCTCAGCTGAGCACCGCCCCGTGTACCAGCAGGTTGCAGGTTCAGGTCCTGGTCGGGGCACATACCTGGTTGCAGATTTGATCCCTGCTCAGGGCGCATATGGGAAACAACCAATTGATGCTTCTCACATCAGTGTGTTTTTTCTCTCTTCCCCACCCTTCCTTCTCTCTAAAATCAATAAGGTGAGGATTAAAAAAAAAATTAAATCCACCCAGCATACCTGAGAGGTTGATCCTCTCTCCTTTTTCTGAGAGGTCATAGAGCTGATGAGGGGTCAGGGATGTGACCGTCATCATTCTCCGCCATTACTTCTCCACCCCCCACCCCCCGCTCCTCCCCCACTCCCCCACCCGCTCCAGAGCCTTTACTAGTTCCAGTATAGCTCAGTGCCTGCTCAAGGCAAAATCAGATACTGGTAGATTGGTCTTGAAATCCATATTTTCTTTTTTAAAGTTATAATGAACCTCAAATCTGGACTTGGACAAAATAATGGAAAGCATGATCTTTGTGACTGTGCCATGTGGTTTAGTGACCTCTGGAACTGGAAGTTTTCTGAACTTTCATTTTCCCCACACCTGGCCACTTGTGCCAGTGCACCTGAGATTTAATCTAAAACGTTTCTCTTACATCCCCATTTCTGCTGTTCTGTCCTGAGCTGAAATCTTTATCAGCTTAAAGAGTAATATACGGTGACGTGTAAAGGGCCATCTCTTTTCAGTTACTGGTTTACAGTGCACAGGAATCATGTTATCTGGGCACTGCTCTCAGTTTGACCAGACAGGACACAAAAGATACATTTGCAAAGGACAGTTCTTTTTCCAGTATGCCTTAGCTGCTCTTCCTCATGGGGACTTAATATTCTAGGCACCTCAGTGCTCATTAGATCTGTCTGGGGCTTCTAACTCTGCTGCCTTTGTTTTCTTTTTGTGGAGGTGAAAATAACAAAATAAAGCAAAACAACAAAACCCTGTTTACATCGGACCAAAGCTGTACATCAGTGTTATACATTTGAGATATAATGCAGCTGACCCATCCCCTGGCGTATAACTTTTGACTCCCCCCAAACTTTACCAGTAGCCTACTGTTGACCAGAAGCTTTATCAATAACATAAACAGTTGACTAACATGTTTTGTATCTGTCTTATATATTGCATTCTTACAACCAGGTAACCTAGAGAAAAGAAAATCATAAGGAAAATACATTTACAGTATTTATTGCAAAGAAAAAGTGTGCATAAGTGGACCTGTACAGTTCAAACCTGAATAGTTCAACTACATAATGAAACCAAGGCTTTCACAGCGGACAGTCTGGGCACACTGCACTTAGAGTGGAGAGTTGCTTATTGTTAGTTAGGCCGTCCAAGTCCTTTTAATGCTGACGCCCGTGCATCGTGCAGTGTGGGGAAAAGGTTCTCATGGCAACAAGTGCAGTCGGGGCTTTTCTGTATCAGAGTGGTGTTTGCTTTGTAAGTAATGCACACGGCCCAGCAGGAGGGTGAACTCGAAGGCTTTCCGTGCCTTATTGGTATACCTGAGGCTTCGCTCTGGGGATGTTAAGAAAGGAAACGTTAACTGCGGTGGAAAATACCCATGTTGCAGTGTGTACGCGGAAGCTGTTCTGTAGGAAAGGGTGGACGTTCGCTGGAACACGTGACTGTCAGCCTGATGGGAAGACGGTTCCGTGCTTGGGCATCACACCCTTGAACCTGGATTGAGGTCCCTGAGTGTTGTGTTCTAATTTCCACTACCGGAGTGTTTGCAGACCCTGTGCTGAGCAGAGGGGACGCAGTGGCGGGCAGGCTAGAGAAGGAGCCTGCTCTGGAGACGGGCTGTAAACAGCACATCAACGGGAGTGTCAGGTGGTGGTGACAGCTATTAAGAGAATACAGAGACAATATGATAGTGACTCGGGGGGTGCGACTCCGAGCGGCGGTGAGAACGCTCGCTTTTCTGGAGCCCGTTCTGCCGGCAGGGCAGTCGGACTTGGTCTGCGGGGTGGGTGGAAGTGGCATTAGACACAGTGAATGACTTGCTTTAGTCCTGAGCATCTTGAGAGGTTACTCCAAACTGTAGAGGTGGTTGATTGAAGTCTTCCTTCTGTGTATACCCTCATGCTTCGTGAATGGAGACCCAGCTCAAAAGAGCTTGCAGGGGGTCATCAGTGGTACCTTGTAAAGCAGGGGTGTCAAACTCACTTTCACTGGGGGCCACATCAGCCTCACGGTTGCCTTCAGAGGGCCGATGTCATTTTAGGACCATATAAATGTAACTGCTCCTTAACAGTAAAGCGAAAGCTCAGCATTGCCACCCAGTAGAAACAAGGTGCTGGGCCGGATGAAACAAGGCGGAGGGTGGATTTGGCCCATGGGCTTTGTTTTGGCCACCTCTGTTGTAAAGGGTAAGAAAGAGAAATTTCATCTGCTTTTCTTAATCATTCCAATAAAAAAAGTAGAACTATGTGAAAATATTGGTTGGTGCTAGGCATTGTTAGAAACATCTTTTAGTTGTGTGTACGATTCTTCATGGGGGGTTGTGTTGGGGTGTTGTAATCATCGTACTTTGTTAAAGCCCCAGATGAAGCCCGCAGCTGCTAGTGACACCCACATGCACGGCGCTGTGCTGGGTGTTGCTTCACGTGGAGGATCCAAAGCCACTGGGTGGACCTAGGGTTGCGAGGGCGGGGCTGTGGAGGGACGCGGGA